ACCACGTTCACCTTGTGGGCCGTCTTGCCCATCTTCTCCTCTAGGTCCAATCTCACCTTCAGGCCCGACCAATCCACGTTCTCCACGTGGTCCAACTTCACCTCTGGGACCTTCTGGACCAGGTATTCCTTGATCACCTTTTTGACCGCGTTCACCGCCTTGCCCATCAGCTCCTCTAGGTCCAGTCTCACCTTCAGGACCGGTCAATCCACGTTCTCCACGTGGACCAGCTTCACCTCTTGATCCATGAAGCCGACCAAACGCCTTCCATTTCGAGCTGAATTTCTTGTACACGATGAGCGTGGTTGCATCGAGATAGAAGTCACCATTTCTCCCTACAGAGTTCAGTGGCATGCCACCTCCGCTAAGCCATCCCAATCCCCGATCACCACGAGGTCCTTTCATCTTGCGCACAGTGTCCATACCAGTTTGCAATCTCGATGATGCTTGTTGGATTTCATTCTTGACCCAACCGGCAGGGACAGCACATGTCAAAGAACTATCATCGTACGCCAAATTACAGATGGAATGCTCGTTCATGTTGAGGTTAGCATCCATGGACACGGATCCATCTGTTTTCACGTGCAGCTCATCAGCTGCTATGGCTTGATCTGTGTAGCGCGTAGATCTGTTTTCCACATCTTCCACTTTGCTCTCATCGGCTTTCACCTCTTTCAGTTTCTCCACATCATGAACCAAGGTGTTTTCGGTGTCATCGTTCCCCACAACTGATTGTATTTCGGTAATATCATTCCGCATGCTTTGCATGTGCTTGAGGGAAGTCTCCTCCCCATCACTCCTATGGAAATGCGTAGCCCAGTACGCCATCTTCACACACACACACACACACACACACACACACACTGTTCTAATTATGATAGGAAATATTTTCTTTCTCAAATAAATCATTATGATACTCATGTGTGCTAGTGGTAATCTAATGAAGCGATGATATGTTAGCAAGAGAGAGAGAGAGAGAGAGAGAGAGAGAGAGAGAGAGTGAGAGAGCATGAAAAAAAAAAAAAAAAAAAAAAAAAAAAAAAAAAGGGTTAGGATATAAAGTCTTTCTGATCAATCAATGTGGTAAGATAGACTAAGCATTTAGCAGATTCAAGTCCAGTGAATTGTCCGGTAGGGTGTCAGGGAGAGACGCTGCCGCCGCCACCGTTGTGTCAAACGCAATGTCAGCAGTCACGTTGTCAGCAGTGCTCCACTTCTTGAGGAATGCAATCACCAGTCGAGTCAATTCAGCCTCGGGAAGGTCTTGCACGGTGTCGTGATCCCTTTCACAAAGCCGTGAGTCTACAAACATCAGGGGGATTGCCGAAAGCCATGCCTTGAATTCGCACTTCTCCCTGTTGAAAGATATAGTGGAAGGATGCAGATAGAGCTGACACTCTTCGTTCATCGGGAAGTTGGGCACACCCTTGGTTGGCTTGAGATACAAAGCAGTCACACTCTTCCCTTGGTACATTGCAGGGAAGATGTTACTCCGTATCCTGTTGATATGTGGAGATCTCACGGCACGTCTCAAAGGTGTTGAGGTCTTCAGGAAGAATTGAATGAGATCGTCTTGTGAAGCCTGGACGTACAGCTTAAGTTGACCAAAGCGTCCTTCACATACCGTGCCATTGACAAGCATGCCCGGTAAATCACCGCGCGTATAGTAGAAATCGGTGCCAGGAGCAACATGATAGTCGTGGGCGGTCTTGCTGTACATTGCTTGAACACACTCTGCTGCCCCATCCGTAATAATGGTGGCGACACCTGGTAGTATGGTAGGACGAGGAGATGGCATCTTGATCTTAGGCAGAGGCTCCAGATTCGGATTACGGCTAGCACGTCGCTTGTAGAGACCGGGTTTCTTTATCGTCTTGATAGCGAACGGGTCAATACCCAAACAGTCCACAACATCTTCACCAGCAACAACAGCATCAGTGGCCATCATGATATCAGTCACGAGAGATCCAGTGAGATCCAGAGGGAGAGAGAGAGAGAGAGAAGGCTTGAGCAACGAAACAACAAAGGCAGTTGTGAGTGAATGGAGGACTGTGCTTGCACATATATACCCTTTTGACCGCCGCCGAGTTTGAAATAACATCCTATGGGAGGTGACGACCTTGGAGAACACGGTGAAATTGTTCAAGAATCAACCAATCAGAGGACACGGTGAGCAGATGATAAGATTTAACCAATCACAGCACGACTTGCACTTGACCTGTCGGAACATGTCTCGGTCATGACTGAACGTGTCTCGACCATGTCTCAGAACAGGTTCCCGAGAGTGTAAATCTCCAACGCATTGCTAACATCGATGACGTACTGCAGTCTTGGTAAATTGATAGAGTATGTTGGCAAGATCAGGTGGGAGAGAGGTCACGTGATCTACTAAATAATCCAGACTGTAGTCATGCCAACAATAGGCATCTATTAGAAGATGCATCATGGACAGGTCTGCAGGTGACATCAAGGACAAATTAACTTTCAGAGTGTTCAGCTGTCTAGCGGACAGAGGACCCTTGATGTGTTCCATGAGATGTAGAAGAAACATCAGTGGAAAACATGATGGAAGAGGTTGTGTAATGCGGCTGCTTCTCAACCATGATACATTACTGCGCGGTAAAGAAGAACGCAGTGTGCGCACTGCATCATGATCCTCATGAAGTATACACGATAATGCTATTGCATAGTTCATGCTTTTATAGCTGCTGGACTTCTTCATTGCTTGCAGTGCCTCTTGAACAGGGTGAAACTGTGCATGCGGTAAAGTGAAGTCGATCTTGTTGAGAAAATGTACAAGATGACGATTCACACCTTGAATGCGATCGGAATCCGTGTAGGTCTTTATGCTAGTACAACGCTCTCTCCACTTTACCTCGGGCATGTAAATGTCAGCCATTACCAATCCACACTGAGAACAAACTCTATGACCAGCATGCTCAACTTGTTCTTCACGATGATAACACACTTCTTCACTTTCCTCTATCTCCTTCTTCTTCTTCTTCTTCTTCTTTTCCTCCAGCGCACATTGCTTCTTTGAACGAACATAAGCATACAGGATCTCAAATTCAGAATCCATTTTCACTGCACCACAACAACTTGAAACTGACTGGATCATCATTCAAGAACACACCTTTTATACTTACATAATCATGACACCATATTACCTTATTGTTTAGGGTAGAGCATAACACCCCAATACATATTTTCAATAATACCCCCTTTTTTTTTTGAGGTAGGGGCACCCCCTGGCACATATTTTTATCCGCAAAAAAACCGGGCCAAAAATAATTTTCACCGCAAAAATGGGGTACTATTAGTACCCCATTTTTCAATAATACCCCATTTTTTGGGACCCGGGCGCCCCCTGGCCCAGAACCCGCTCGTCCATTCCTACTTGTATTGTGTCTCTACTCTTTTCTTGGTGTTTTCTTGGCGTTGTATAAGTTTGTGTGTGTGTGTGTGTGCGTGCGCGCGCGCGCACAATAATTTGAAAACAAATAATTAATCCTTGGCTCTCCATTATTCTCTTTCGATTCTTGGTTGTTTCTAGGTATTTTCTTGGCGGTGTGTGTGTGTGTGTGTGCATGTGTGTGTGTGTGTGCGTGCACAATATTTGGCAACACTACATGATTGAGATATTGTAATTTGCAGCGTCTGCGAAGAGACCACTTGATTTGAGGATGGTGTTTGTAGGGTTTTTCATGTAATGAAGTGGCTACAGGGGCGCCTCAATACTTATTTTTTATCTTGAGAAGTGAATGATGTAAAGGATTAAAGGGAGAGGCGTTTTCTGGTTAATATTCACTGCTTACAGCAGATCCTATGTCTAATTTCGAACTTTGGATAGGGGATGCCTAGTTGGCTGGACTTTATACAGGGAGTGTTGTCCACATAAAGACTCCTTATACATGTAGTTGATTTCAAAGTTTGGACTCCATACAGTTGATTTTGGACAAATGGACTCTATATAGGGGTGAAGCCAATTGGCTGGACTCTATACAGGGAGTGATGTCCATCTAAACTTTGAGCTCACAGTTGATTCCAAGTTTGGACTCTGTACGGTGGATTTTGGACTCTGTACAGTGGATTTTGGACCAATGGACTCTATATAGGGGTTGGACATCATATAGGGGCTGGACGCTCTACTGAGTCCAACATATAAATACCTGGTTTGAATAGAAGCTTGATGTGAATACTGAATAGAAGCCTAGCCCTGAAATTGGCTTCCACAGGAATACGCTCGGCGGTAATACACGACACTACGGAGAGTACATATCAATTCTCTTTCTGGAATTCTGGACCACTATGATCAAATGCTGGGGAGACAAACGCACTGGGATAAATTAATCCCATTTTTCTGTAAACAGTGGGTAAATGAGTCCAATAACGTCACATCATTTTAGCATTACTTTATGATACTAACTGTGTGGAATATGAAGTTCCTACAATGGAGTCTGCATGCCCTTAGGAAGGAACCTTTTGCTCCAAGCATCTACAGAGAGGTGGCAAAGCCATTGTTCTTAAAAAAAAATAGAAAACGGCTTTGACTGTGAGTTTGCTGAAAAGCAATACTTGTAGTCCAGCACTACTGCTCTGCTCGGGTAGAGTAATTGTGCATGTGCATGTGCCGGTGTGTATTTGTGTGTGTGTGTGTGTGTGTGTGTGTGTGTGTGTGTGTGTGTGTGTGTGTGTGTGTGTGTGTGTGTGTGTGTGTGTGTGTATGTGTGTGTGTGTGGGTGTGTGTGTTTTTTAGTGAATGTGTGCAGGTGTGGTGTTACATACTCACTTCACATTGCAGATACCCTCATTGATTTGTTTCCGTCTTCTCTTTGGGCTTTGTTCATGATGGCATTTTCCTCTTTCTCTTTTTCTTATCATTATCACTATCTTCATCATTTTGCGAGAACTGTGGCAACACGCCCAGTGAGAAGGCAGATTTTGCCTGTACTTCTGGTGAAGAAAAATATAGCTAAACAAAACCAATCAGAGACACTTACTGTCCTGACATTGGTCTCCCCGGAATCCGGTCGGACAGACGCAGGTGCCGTCTTCAGTACACTGACCATTATTCAGGCAATTGCATGCTGCAGCAGTGATTGGATGCACATATTTTCCAAAAGCAAACGAATAGTGGCAGAACAACATAGCAAATGGGACTCTCGAGACATTGTTACATGTATCTTGCTCATCATGACACTGTACCCACCAGTACATAGCTACATGAACAGCCAGATTACAACACTCCCACGTATATCCAACTGATGCCCATATGACTGTATCATTTATTGCACGTGGATAGGACAAAATTCCACCCACTTTTAAGGTCACAGTACGTTGGGCAATCCGGCATACAAACTCGGAAGTGTATCTTTGGCTTCAAATACAATATAACGGCATGTATGTTCCCATGGGTCATACATTCTTTGACACGCTGGCACATACTATATTACAGCAGCTTTCTTCAGCCCTTACCTTCTGTGCAGTTAGGTCCATTTAGTCTGGGTTTACATTCGCATACTTTGTTCTTTTTCACCCAGGGATGTGTGCACACAACTGCATCGCATATCACAAGAAAGAGGGAGAACAGCCAGAGATTAGCCAGACACAAGAAGGACAGACAAGTGGACAGAGGGAAAAACAATCTATTATTATTTATTTTGAACAAACGACGAGGAGACAACAATTTGATAACCGCAATCAGCAATAAAAGCCTGGATCGACATTTGTGTACACTTTATTCATGTAATGTAAAACTGTGGAGACAATGTGCAATAAAACGATGAAAATGTGAAGAAATTGTGGAGAGAAAAAAGGAAAGGGATTCAAACAAGTTTTCGTACAACACTCATCAGGAATCTTCGTTGTACTAAAGGACACTGAAAACAAAATTGAATTTTTATAGAAAATCTAAGTTAGAGAAATAACACTAAGAAGAACAGCAGTGAAATTTACAAAAGTGAATTTTAACAATGGAAGCGAGAGCAATGACGAATGTGTGTACCAACACTAAACTTGCAGCTGAAATATGAACACAGAAGAGAAAGAAAGAAGGAAGGACAAAATGATAACAAATAACAGCAGTACATCACACCTAGAACATTAACGGCCAAGCTTGACTGCACCAAACATGACACATTACTTGAAAAATTTCTACCCAATTATACTATCTTCCTGTACACACAAATAAGGCTTATACAGACGCTGACAGATGGCTTCTAAAAACTTTTAACTGTAGTCCATAACCATGACGACCACGGTACAATAGAGTGAAAGAAGAGTCGGAATACGAATTGTAACAATCAGGACTAGCCAACAGATGATTGTACACTGAAGACTTGCTACCACGAAACCTACGCACAACACTAACATTCTCACCGGCACTCTCACGATCACTACAATAGTTGCTCTCCGACTCTCTGCTCCCTTCACCGTCCGTCCCATCATCCGCTTCCTCTGCGCTCTCTCTGTTATACCGCCTGACTTGGTCCATTGAACGGGACTCGGCCGTCACCCTGCTGTCACGTCCCTCCTTACGCCATTGTCCGTTGAGTGCGTAGCTTTTGTTGTAGTTGGCTGTTGATCATCTTGGTCTTTAAATAGTGGGCTTGGATGGTGGATTAGTTGTGGTTGCTGTAGATTGCAATGTTGGTGATGGTGTGGGAGCTGCTGATACGCAAGGTGGGATTTTTGGGGTTGGCAATTGTAGTGGTAACGCCACTGCCGGTGTTGCTCGCGGTCTGTCACTGGCAAGCTCCACCGCAGCAAGAGCCAACGGCGGAGCATCAGGAGGAGGCAGTGGGACCGGGACCGCAAGCGGCACCTCCCCAGCCAAAGCCGCCGGGTGCACCGACGAAGGAACCACCGACGGCAGTAGCAAAGGCGGCGACACAAGCCGGCCCGATGAGCCACCACGACCACCCTCCTCCACCACAGCCACCAGCGACGGCGGAGCAAGCACAGTCTGTGAGCCAGGATCCGCAAGTTGTGTAGGTAACGGTTGTTTTCTAGGTCGCCCTCGCTTCGCTCTTTGTTGTTGTTGTAAATTTCACTGCTGTTGTTCTTAGTGTTATTTCTCTAACTTAGATTTTCTATTACAAGTTCAATTTAGATTTCAGTGTCCTTTAGTACAACGAAGATTCCTGATGAGTGTTGTACGAAAACTTGTTTGAATCCCTTTCCATTTTTTTTCTCTACACAATTTCTTCACATGTTCATCGTTTTATTGCACATTGTCTCCACAGTTTTACATTGCATGAATAAAGTGTACATAAATGTCGATCCAGCTTGTATTACTGATTGCGGTTATCAAATTATTTCTTTTACTAGTATAAGAGGAAAACATGTACAGTTTGCGTGCGACTCGGCTAGAGGCCGAGTTTTCCACATCTATTGGAATACCCCACCCCTCAAGGGTCAAGGCTCCCATTCAGCTCCAAGAGGCAAGAGACTGGACAATTGACCAGGAAGTTGTAACTCATTGGGGACGAATGAGCGTTTCGACCGCACAAAAATAGCAGGTTTGGTGATGCACATGTTCTTATTCCTAGCAAGAGCTTGATGAAACGGAATACTTGTTCTGTCGACTTTCACTCAAAATAGAAACTAGAACAAGGCCTGCATAATCAGGGCCAACCGGAACAACTCCAAAGCCTACACACAGTCAGGGGAGGCCATGTTCACACCAAAGGTATACTTTGAGAATTGCATACAATGTAAAGGAAACACTTGAAGTAAACAAATTCAAACAAGCAATTCGGAGACAGCAACTTTAATATGCCAACCAAGAGTACTAACCATGCATTATTACAATAGTGACAAACATGCGAGAGAAATGGGAATGTGAAATGTACATGTAAAAAGAAGCAGAAGTGTTCAGATCGGTAAGGAAATTCACTTCTACCAAAAGTCCATAACCCCAAGGGTGTGCAACTGGTTGTCTGGCTGCTGTAGGCCCACTACGCGGCGAAATTCCAACATAACGTCATGCCACTGAGGCACAGAGGACAAAACTCTGCATTCCGCGGTGCTTGGATTTTTTGTTTGGCACCAGGGAGTAGTACAAGCGCAACGAACGTGTACGTCATTTTTGACGTAATATTGGAATTCCGCCGCGCGGACCCCATGTACAGAGTTGCAAACTCTTGGGGGTATGGACGCCTGCTTCTACTTACCCTTCTGGCAATTGTCTCCGGTGAATCCCTTCGGGCAGATGCATTTGCCTTTGTCGTCACACTGACCCTGGTTCAAACACTTGCACACTGCAGCAGCCACCGCATACACGCAACATGGCGTGAAACAGAGAAAATACACGGTTTGGTTACGCAATGAGCAGTGGAGATAGAGAAAGTAGACTACACAAAGTTACCAGGCAACTTCTGCTTGCAAGCAAACTGGGGCGTGAACACTGTTGAAGCACTGAAGCCAGCACTCGAAAATAGTACTAAGACAACACATATAACCGTTAGTAGATCTACTCGTAACAGCCATTCATAAACAAATATGATACAATTCGCCTGTGGGGATTGCCCATTTAAAAATTTAAATAATAAGAATAATAATAATTAAAAAGCTTACGTGGAGATAAAAATGTAATCGACGCAATAAATAGAGTAAGCTGCGCACTCAGTACAAACACCATAAGCAAAACTTGTTTTCATGTAAATAAAGAAGCTTGTTCCTAAACGTTTTCGTCGCCATTTCATCAGAGGATTACTGGCAAATCAACAAAAGCTCTTAACTCAATATATATATACGCACAATGCAAGTAATAATTTAGACCCTAACTAGCGCGATAAAATGAAAGCTGAAGAAACATTACACCATTCAACGATATCAGGTATATATATTGAGTTAAGAGCTTTTGTTGATTTGCCAGTAATCCTCTGATGAGATGGCGACGAAAACGTTTAGGAACAAGCTTCTTTATTTACATGAAAACAAGTTTTGCTTATGGTGTTTGTACTGAGTGCGCAGCTTACTCTATTTATTGCGTTGAATAATAATAATAATAATAGGTCAGACTCGGATGTAAAGGCAAGGATTAAAATAGAGAGGACACAAGGTTTACAAGTTATGCGTTTTGTGCCAAACACTAACGACAAGTTTACATAAACCAGAGTGTGCAACTCAGGGTGGTTCCTGTGGGAGCGTAATTCGTGCAATACGTCATTTCTGACCTCATGGTAAGCCACAGGTACGGTGAAAAGTTGCATAAACAGTCACAGTGGTGCAGGTTGCCGAGTTTGTTAGGCACATGCTATAATTTTATCGTATTGCTTTTAAAAGTTCAAGACATCTCACTTACTGACACAGAGGATTTGGGCTCGGTGATTGCTTGTGGTGTTCACAAACCTCTGTTTTCCCTCGCTAAACGTTACGGTCCTGAAAAGGGAGTTGCCGTTCACCACGATTGGTTTGACGTGGTAAGGTGCTTGCCGAATAGCCAATCTCTCTAGGAAGCTCTCTCTTAGTACATGGCCATGTGCTTGCAGCCAGGCCCCGGTTATGAGGTGAAGTCCGTACTGCTCACATGCCTCCTCTGCGAATTGCTCAGTGACGTTGGGCCTCAGCGCTGGCGTTGCTGTGGTGTATACTGAGGAGTTGGCGTGAAGCCACTTGGCTGCAAAACAAGGGCACATACAGTAGGCAATAGGGAATACAGTCGTCCCTCTCTAATCCGGCACTTGTTTATCCAGCACCCTTGCAAACCAGCACACTTTCTGGCAAAACGGATTTTTCAGTTCTTTTTCTACCCTTTAATCCGGCACTTGAATTCCGCCTCCAGCAGCGATTTTCTGCAACAAATCACTCAAACTGAACATAATTTGATTTTCTAATCCAGCAGTTGTACATCGCATACTGTCAGGGACCATTGTAACATACACAACACATGTAACATACATTTGGGAATAAATATCCTATGCTAGTACATAAGATATTCCCAAGCGCATGTTATAGACATGCATTCCATGATTCCACAAAGTACTTTGTTTGACACAGAAGATCCCTATGTTTTGATATACGACACAAACATGTATGGTAACATGTGGGCCGGGTTGGAGGGCAGGATTTGATAATCCACTCGCGGCACCCTTCTTTATCCAGCAGAAAATTCCATTGCAAAAGGTGCCGGATTAGAGAGGAACGACTGTATGTATAACAAACGCAATGACAACAGTGAGCATTCCCAGATGGCTTAGAGTACTCAACACCACCAGGATGGAGCGATCCAACAAAGGACTGCCGAAGCATTACAACAATTATTTAACCGATTCTCTCTGGTCTCTTCTGCCTTTTTGACAAAAGTCACGAAATAAATCTAAATAACGGGTGCCCACAATCTAGTCATGCTCAATAAAACCCGGTCTAACGGAAAGGTCAATGCTACCATTTCACCCCTATTCTGAGACAGGTTCAGGTGTCGGCCTATATTTGCAGGCATGGGGCTGGGTGGACTTCATTGAGCAGCACCGTGCCATAGTTGGGAATCACCCAGCGGTTATACCAAGAGTACATAACCCCCGAGAGTGTGCAACTTCCACATACTCTGCTCTCCCGACAGACTTTCAAGTTGACGTCATTAATTATGGGGCTGGGGAGACTTCATTGAGCAGAACCATGCCATAGTTGCGGATTACTCGGTGGTCAAACGAAGGGAGTAGTATGATGCCGGGTTACATAAGCATATGACAGAAGTGTTTTGATTGCTTCCGTGCGTGTGGGTCTGAATCTGGCTATACCGATCAGTTTCCAATTGAACTCAGAAACCTCGGTTGTAATAACTCTTGCCGTGCCTACCCTATCCATTCGTCCCTGGCTACTCAACATTTTTCTCTCACTCGTTCATATGATCACAATGCAACAGCCTACCTTCGCAGATGACATCATGATGGCTTGCTCCATTACTATCAAGTAACTCTTCTCTTAAATCGTTCTTGCCCTGCTGGTACATGATATTTTGGTCATCCTCCTCGAGCGATGCCGATATTGAGATAGAGTTGCTGTCACCGCTCGCCATCATCTTGACATCAAGATGGCTTGCTCCACTACCATCATCATGTAACTCTCCTCTCAACTTGTTCTTAACTTGTCCTTGCCCTGACGATAGGGAGATAGAGTTGCTGTCACCGCTCGCCATCATCTTGACATCAAGATGGCTTGCTCCACTACCATCATCATATAACTCTTCTCTCAACTTGTTCTTAACTTGTCCTTGCCCTGATGATAGGGAGAAAGGGTTGCTGTCACCGCTCGCCATCATCTCGAAATCAAGATGGCTTGCTCCACTACTATCATGTAACTCTTCTCTTAAGTTGTTCTTGCCCTCCTTGTAAATGACATGCTTGCCATCCCTCAAGAAAGATGTCCATATTGTGATAGGGTTGTTGAAATTGCTTGCCATCATCTTGTTGAGCAATGCTTCCATGCAGTCCCGCACGCCCAGAGACAGGGTTGTGAAGGCATTATAGTCTACCACGTCGTATCCTCTTCTCTTGCACATCTGTCGGGCATGCGTCAAGTTCGTCTTCTTCTGGCAGCTGTCACCGTCGAGGTGTGGATGACACGGCAAGGCGGCGAGAGCCATCCAGGTGTACATTGCCTTATCTGTACCCAGGCACTTTGTCTTGAAACCTTAACATAACACAGTGCACATGCAAGACACGGTCAGGCGAAGTAGAACACAACTGGACCACAGCCTAACAAGACGTACACTTGCTCAGTAGGGATACCGCAGTCCATTTCAGAATTTGTTTACTAAAATGATCCCAAATATCATCGGATCATCACAGCTATACAGTAAAACCTGGTGTAAGCGACCTCTGGGTTTAGCGACCACCTGCTCTTAACACGGACCATTTTTTCCATGGACTGACAGTTCTACACAGACACTGTGGGACCTGGTTCTAAAGACCACCTGGCTTTAACGACCGCTTTTGCTTGCACCTTGGAGTGGTCGCTGAAACCAAGTTTTACGGTAGTTCTGGTGATGGCAGTCAATTTTTTAATCAGACTTTTTCGCCCTCAACTTTCCTCAAACTTCCGAACAAAACACCTACGTGAGGCGCTATTTGCTTTGTTCCTTGCCCTAAACTGTTACAGTACATATCGGTTATAGTGCGGTCGTGTACAAGAATATGCTGCCTACAAGAATGAACTCTAATATCTTCATAATCGAACTCGCATTGGTTCGTAATGCTGCAAGTGCACGTGACGTGGCCAGGTATCTTGTTGCAGAGCCACATGGACAGACCTATGGGACTATGAACAGCCGCACGTACAAACGCACTACGAATGCATGTCCAATGATCTTCCCCGCCTGCAGGTCCATGGAGCTAGCTGTCCTGTTGTATGGTGCCCGTGGGCCTTGTAAACTCGGACACTGGCATGTACATAGTGCGGACGGAGAATGCCACAAATGTAAAGACCCACCAAGCGCAGCTCACAGCCAACAGCAGCCGCGCTTTCGACTACAGTAAATCGCCCAATATCCGCGTCACTAAATTTTCGCGATTTCTTAGAACCAACAAGTTTGCGATGGCAAAAGGTTGCGAAGCACGGTGGACACCTACATACACCCACTGTTGAAGCTTGATTTCACGATGGTTAATATTTGCGTCATTTTACAGTATTCCAGAAACATGAACAAAACACGGGTTTACTTCATACGCCATATACTTACTGTTCTGACACTGATCTCCATGGAAACCTTTCCGGCAGATGCAGGTGCCATCTTCGGTGCACTGGCCGTCATTCAAGCATTTGCATGCTGCAGCAGTGATTGGGAATATTCACGCATTTCCAAAGCACACGAAAAGGAATAGAATAACGGACTGTCGGGAAATTGTTCACATGTCCTTGCCCATCATCATGGACGCCTCAAACCAGCTTTTTTAACCACTTACGAGGGTGTCCAACTCCCCATATCAATATTTTTGCCGAAGGGGTAGGGGCGCAGCATTGACTTCCGTGCACGCTGCTTTGCACACTTCACGCTTTACACTTCAAGTGCAGAGATGTATTAATTTGTAGCTTCTTCTTTTCTTATTTTTTAGATCAGTTTTTTTACAAGGCAACACAATATTTTAGCTTCTTCGCCCCTTTTGGTGTATTCTAGTTGCAGTGTTCAGATTAGCCAGAATTCTTGTAGCCGACATATGCTCTCCCAATCAGTTTAAAATTATTACATTCCGGCTACAAAGCATATGTTGCAGAATAGGTCGGAGAAGCCCGCATGAGGACTCGGGAGTTGTTTTCTTGTCTTCAAAATACAACATTCAAGATCATACATTCTCTGACATGCCTACATACATTACAGCAGCTTTCTTCAGCCCTTACCTTCTGTGCAGTTAGGTCCATCTAGTCCGGTCGTACATTCGCATAATTTGTTCTTTTTCACCCAGGGATGTGTACACACAACTGCATCACACATCGCAAGGAAGGGGAAGAAGAGGAAGAGAGTAAATCAGCCAGACACGAAGTCAGACAGACTAAAGTTGCATTTGGTTGGGCAATTCCAGAATGATATTGACCACCCGTGATTCTGGATTGTTAATGATAGCTAGCATGCCGTCCTACCAGTAAGACCACGGGTCCTACCGGTAGAACCCAAGAAATCGCGCTGCAAAAGTGCTGTTGCTTGAGAATCTTGTTGAAAACAATGGGCGAGATGAGGTTCTTGTAGTACAAAGTAATGGCGCAAAAGGCAAGACTACATCCAGGGCATTGCATATGTGCAATTTTATCAATTTTCAAAATGCGCGCCCATGTTCCTGTCAAAGCGCTTGCAACTGCGTCCAAAGTGAATTTCGACCATGGCATATTGATTGCCATGGCAGTGGAATGCAAAATTCCACACTCTGTTTCCATGGCTACCATGGACTGTTGACATAGAATTTCTTATTATGCCTCGTACGATCATGTCCAAAAAGCGTGGACTCCTTCAATAGCGAGTCAAAGTACTTGTCAGTGCATGATTAAAAAATCCCAAGGGAACTGAAAAAGAATACTTGAAGAAAACTAAATCTCTTCTACTTACCGAGTTGGCACTTGTCTCCGGTAAATCCTTTCGGGCAGCTGCATTCACCTTTGTTGTCACACTGACCCTGATTCAAGCACTTGCATGCTGCAACGCCCATCAATAAAGGCATGCACGGAGTGGCATAGAAAAATGCACGGGGTGTTACTCTATGCTTAGTGGAAATCGAGACATTTATCATTTAGTCTTGTCTCCGCTGACCTGGTGAGAAGGCAGAAATGCCTGTTCACTTGGTGAAGTAAAATAAAAATAAACAACAACAACAACAACAACAACAACAACAACAACAACAACAACAACAACAACGAATTCTTCATTTCACAGAGCAAGCTGTCCGTGGCCAATGCGGATGAGCAAACTCCAGCCATGAACACCACCCCTGACATCCTCAGTCCCCTTCAAGAAATCTCGACTTCCCAAGCTGAGGTAGAAAAACTCCTCCGCGGAGTTGATACCAACAAAAGCCCCGGGTTTGACTCTATTCCAAACCGCCTACTCAAAGAAACGGCTAAGGAACTTGCACCGTCGTTATCGTACCTCTTTAATCTATCGTTCCAAACCGGAGAAATCCCACAGGAGTGGAAAGATGCCACCATTACTCCAGTACTCAAGCCTGGTGACCCAACCCAACCAACAAATTATAGACCCATCTCTCTCTTGAGCACTACATCAAAAATCCAAGAAAAAATTGCACGACAACTCCTCTACAAGCACATCACACCCCACCTGCCCAACCAGCAGTCCGGATTCCGCGAGAAAGACGGCACTGAGCAGCAGATCGCCCGTCTTGTCCAGACCCTCTCCACTGCGAGAGACGACGGGAAACACGTCAATGCCTGCTTTTTTGATCTAAGCAAGGCCTTCGATCGTGTGTGGCATGCCGGCCTTCCAGCAAAACTCTCCCACTATGGTGTCCAGGGCAACGCCCTGAAGTGGTTCCGACAGTACCTGTTGGGGCGTCGGCAGAGGGTCCAGGTCAATGGCGACCTATCGCCTTTCCTCGAGATCCCTGTCGGCGTCCCTCAGGGATTTTTTCTTGGGCCGCTTCTATTCCTTGTCTACAACATAGACCTTCCACACGCAAGTGAGAATCCCGGCACCACCTGTAGCCAATTTGCAGATGACACCGCTCTGATTTCCAAACCGAGAACTCTTCAAGACTGCACCCGAAACTACAGAGTGTCACAGCAGCTGGAAACTGGCTTCAAAGATGGCACCTGCTGGTTAACCCAAAGAAAACAGTCATCCTCCCGTTCTACCACAATAACCGCCCCCCTGAACAGCTACCCCAGATCACCCTCAGGAATATTCCGCTTACCGTAGCACAAAAACACAAACACCTCGGAATAATCTTTAAGCATGACCTCCGTCGGACGGAGCATGTTGAATACATAGTCTAAAAATCACTCAAGTCTTTCAATATTCTTTTTAGACTAAGGTCTACACTCACCAGTGATTCTTTATCTCACATCTATCAGACATACATACTACCTATATTCTCATATGCGAGCAATGCTCTCACACCGTTGTCACACACTTCCCTTGACAGGCTAGAACGACTCCAGCGGAAAGCCGCCAGAATATGTCTCCACCTTCCCCTTTACACACACTTAGAACACCCCCACCTTTTGCATCGCATCAAATGGCCAACATTATTTTCACACTTTTAAGTTAAACATATACTCTTCGCGCATTCTCTGCGCCACAATTATGCCCCACCACATATACTCTCGCTGCATACTGCTAGCAACGTGCAACCTTCGTATAATTTACGTCGCTCTCGTACTTGGCATTGCCAACTCCGCGGACTGACCGCTGTCTCCATTCTTCCTTGTACAAAGCCCTTAATTACTTTAATTGCTTGCCCACCCAGCTTCGCGAAATCCCTTCTCGTTTTCCCTTCAAATCCGAGATATCCCTGCTGTTGCACAACTCTGTATGCTCGTGTGGCGACCACCCCTGCCCGTACACTTAAGTAGTCATTAACCCCTAGGCCTTGCCCACCCAATTCTTTCTCACTCTTTCTCCTTTCTTACACTAATACGGAGCATCAGCAAATCGAATATTCGAATGAAATTCGAGAATCGTCACGAAAAGCACTCAATCAGTCGAAACTAGGGCTTTGTTCGACTGAAAAATGCCCGCAAACAGAAAATACTTTTCGAATACTTTTCGAATGCTCCGCGCGTGCTCTAGTACACGGCGCACTACGAGTACTCATTCTTGCGCATGTAGCTACTAGTTCTTACTAAAGTACTAGTCCGGACTTCTTGTCAATCTTGACGCTTTCCTCTCTCTCGAACTGTGAAAAGTTTTATCAAGTGTGCATTTTGTTTCATTTCAAGTATCCTGGAATCATGGCTTTGTCACCAACTACCAGCCCGGTATGCCTCCTGCTCCCAGTACTGCAGTAGCCTTGCTGGCGTTGTCTCGGCATCTGCGTCTATGGTGAGTTCCCCGCAGGGAGAGGGCAACTCAAAGTGTGCCAAATATTTGAGAGTCGACCTTACCATGGATCTCATTCTGCTGAGGCAGTGTAGGGCCCACCCTCACCTATTCGTCCGCGTGTCTCCTGATATGCAAGGGATAGCGGAGGAGCTAGGCCGAGATCCGCCTTTTCAAGGGGTCTCCAAGAGAGATCCTATCGCCAATAGCCTGAATCGGATGAAGCATCCGCCGCTTCGCGTCATCCCCAAATGCAATGAGAAACAACAGCAACTCCGTTCATTGCACATCTCAAAATCCCAGTCCTCAACTGCTCAAGCTAAAAAAACTCGATTCGAAAATACTGGACTGCGCTATATGCTGAACCTCTTTTTCATTCGAATTTTCTCTCTGATTTTCTTTTTGCCATTCGAATAATCAAATCGAAAATTCGATTTGCTGATGCTCCGTATTATCACTTATTGGCCACTGGCTATCGTGAGAATAAAGATTTGAAACAACAACAACATTTGACTGGGATGGGCATGATCGATAGGGCGAATCCCGAGCAAGTGCGTTCCGAGCAAGTGCGTGATCAATTGGCCTAATCTGGCCGAATCCGGAGTAGGTGTACTTGGAGTGGAATCCGACCACACCGGCCCCCAACCCGGGAGTCGCTGGAGTGGAAATGGACGTTGAAGTTTTTTGGAAGCCTTCACAGAATCTTTGTACGACATGCGTGCATTTTGCGTACCACACCCTTGCTTTGTTAGATTTGGCCAGCGTTGCTCGAATGTCACTACCTGCTCGCACTCAATCCAGTTTCGCCAATCGATGACACCCTTGAGCACGAGTTAATTACCCATTTAGCCGTGGCAATGTCAGCCATCTCCAGCAAATGCTTCATCCGAGGTACAAGGCTTTCCATGTCTTTCACAATAACTAAGTGGTCTAGGTAAATTGGGCCGGTCTCTCCGCTTGCATAGATCATGATACCGGATGATCTCCAGCAGTCTTGCTGCGTGTTCTCAGATAAACCAAAAAAAAGAATGGCTCGGTGTCTTACCCTTTTCACAATATTGACCATAGGTTGAGGTGCGGTTACACACACAACTCAGGTTTGGTCCAAGAACACCGGTCTCACATGTTTCTGTGCAGAACAGGACAACAAAATGTCAATTGCATTACACTCTAAAGGTCGATTCACAGTACAACTTTCTGCGACGTGACACACGATTTGCGACAGTTGCGACAAGAATCTGCCTGTCGCGAGCTGTCGCAAGCTGTTGCAAGGCACCTGTCACAGAAGTTGAAGAATGTTGTACGACATACACAAAATGGAGTACTGTTTCGACCCTGGGTGCACGTGCAGTGCACGTGCATAGTACTACTAGCGCATAAGGATGTCGCAAACATGAAAACGATAGATGATATGCCATATAACGTGCAACTAGACTTGGGAGGGCATTGCAGAGTAAGTAGTTGCATACAAAGTTCAAAGTTGTACAGTTACCTGTGACTTGTCCTCATGCAGAGCTCAGGGCCTACCGTGTACACATTGTAGTATAATTTGTATGCAACTTGTGTGCAATGCCCCCTCAAGTCTAGTAGCACGTTATTTGGGATATCATCTATTGTGAACTGTGTGTCGCTGTCGCAGCTCGTCGCAGGTGTTGTAAAGTTGCATGTCGCGTCGCAAGAATTTGTATTGTGAATCGGCCTTTACAGTCCCGAACACTTGACATTTTTGATAATCCAAAATGATGGTCCAAGAAACCTTATCATGCAGCAAAAAATTATAGGAACTGATGTGTGAGACCAGGGATTTTTTCAGTATTTACCCTCATAGGATCTGCCAATGAGCTAAAGCATAGTGCATTTGACAGTTGCCGTTAAAATACAGGAGGGTGCCAATTGTCAGCCACCCTTCGGGGCACTGGCCATTTCCACGGTGATCAGAGGAGAAGAATGGTTGGTTATGGGACCACTCATACATCTATCACATGCATATTCTAGCAAATTTTCACCATTTTTAATTCTCTTCGGTAGTACAACAGGACCTAGGTGTACTCCAGCTTCTCATCGTTGTACATTTTGACTGAACAACCTGCTGTAAAACATCTTGGGCATCGCTTGAGTGGTGCTCCGAGTGGCAAAAAAAAGCTGCCAATTTTGTATGTTGTCCAGCCCGACCAGGAGATCCGGATAACCGATTGTCCGGATAGTTAACGTCCGCACAAACGGTGTTTGACTGTAAAATAATATCCCATCATACCCCTCATGCGAACACCTGGATATGGCCTGCGCTCCCAGGGTTGCGGACAATCGCCACGCTACGCTGCACAGACTTTCTTCCAACAAATAAAGTTGCTTGTGCCAAACAAGCAAGTCGCAATCAAAACTTCAAAATTACGGGAAGAAACACAACCTGATCCTCAGTTCAGGAAGGGCTCTCTATATTGGGATCCATTGTGCGTGCAAGGAATGCTTGGATGCGACATGTTTGCACGTTGCAAGGTCACATCGTACATAGTGGCACATTATTAGCACAAGCCCTGTTCACACAGTTAACGGTGGCACAGGACACATGTTAGACAAATGCACAAATGCACAACAGTATACTCATCGTGCTGATGTCACACACAAGGGCAGAGCACTACTTGCGCATGGTAAGAGCACTACTTGCGCATGGTCAGCCTTTCAAGTTAAGGAGCCTTGTCTCACTTACTGACACAGAGAATCTGGGCTTGAGTTTTGCTTGTGGCGTTCTGAAACGTCTGCTTTTGCGCGCTAAACATTACGGTTCTGTAAAGGGAACGGCCATTGACTCGGATTGACGCGACGTGGTAAGGTGCTTGCTGGTGCTTATGCAATAAGGCCAACTTCTCTAGCCAGCGCTCTGTTAACACATAGCCATGTTCTTCTAGCCACTCCTTGGTAATGAGATGATATCCGTACTCCTGACATGCGGCCTCTGCGAACTGCTCAGTCACACTGGGTCTGTGTGCTGGACTTGCTGCGGCGTGTACAGAACCGTTGGCCTGGAGCCATTTGGCTGCAAAGCAAGGAAAAATACAGTTGCGGGTAGAAACACATCATGAAACAAATCTACGAATAAGGGGGGCTTGAAATCATGACACCTGATCTCATGGATACGGAAGTGCCCAGAGCTAGTGAGTAGTTCAATGTTCACAGGCCTGGGGCTCGCCAGACTTCATAGAGCAGCACCGTGTCACATTTGCAAATCATGCAGCGGTTCTGCCAAAGGAGTAGTACGAGGTGAATAGCAATTTCTGGACATGAAAATAAAATAGAGCCCCACAGGCTGTGTGTTTTACATTTTTCATATCTTTTTGTATCTATTGTATGGCCTAATCCTTCATCTTTTCAAATATGTGACAATTGCTCATGCCGTGATCCCAGAGACTTTATAGCAGGACGTTTTCGACAGGCCAATTTTTTGGCCTAAATTTCAGTGTATGGAATTCTGGACATGAAAGTAAAATAGAGTCAAAAGGCATCCTATATCGTACCATTTTGGTTATTTTTTCTATTGCTGGACTGCAGTTGGCCTCTTCACACTTCCAGCCAACAGGTCCAAGACTATACAGCGTCTGAAGTGGAGTGCACATGGGGAAGCCAACGATTCGTCCATTACTTTTTATTTTACTCAAAATTCAAAATTCTCATGCGACATAGTCCCACAAAACTCGTTGAAATGCCTCACAAGTAAAGGCTATCAACAAGGCATCGACACGAGGAGAAACTACAGCAACCCAGCTGTCAACTACGGCAAGAAAAAACTTCATCAACCTGACTGACTGGACTCTACATGCGACGAAAAATTATTTTACTCGAAATGTCCAGAAATGTCCAATGTCCAGAAATAGCAATTCACCTCGTATAACACCGGGTTATGGCACAAGCATACACATAAAATGTGTCTTCGCAGATGAAACTAATTGGTTACTCATGTGTGGATATGACCCTGGCTAGAGCGGTAGGTTTCTCATTGAAGAGGGAAACCTCGGTAGCATTCACTACTCTCGCCGTCTCTGTTTCATTCCTCCTGTCCCACTACTATCATTGGACACACCCTTTAACCCACTAACCGCTATATATATATACGTCATTGAAAATGATGCCCAGGCGCTGAGGACGTATATATATGAGTGGTTGCTCCCAAGCTTCCTAACTATATATAGAGAATTACCCAATGCTGTAGACAGCAAGCTGTTTCGGCCATAAAGGCCTCATCAGTACAGCTACGAGCTAAATAGGCCGAGCTACCAGCCATGGTGCAAAGGAGGCACCACAGACATTAAGATAGCTCGTCGCTCTAGCGCCAGAGTGCTCAAACTACAAAAAGTAGCGGACATTGCGCAGAGAATTATAAAAGTTGCCTGACGATTGAAAAGAACTCAAGAAACTCGGAGTACAAGATATGGATTGATCAGAGAAGGGTAGATTGACCATCACTGTGGATAAGAGTCATACTGTAGGTCAGTTGGTTAGAGCATTGCTCGCGAATAGCAAGGTCCCTGGTTCGAGTCTCGGTGGCGTGACTGATGATTTTTTCTTTCTTTCATATCTGGCTTGCAAGTTTTGAGTTTCGGAGAGAAAAGAGCAGTACGTGGCATGTGGCCTCTGGTTTCCTAATGCGCTTATAATGTCAACACTATTGGTGAAAATCCCGGGAGCTGAATATACTGCTAAGCATTGTGATAACACCGTTGTTTAGAACACAGACAAACCTTTATTGCACATATAAGCGTATGGGCGTCTACCCGGACATGTTCACACAGCAGAAACTCTTTTTTTGCAGCAAATTTTCATGGGCGTATGGTATACCTCCTTAGTGGTGTATATTAAACAGTGTATATGGAAATTTATAAACTTCATGGGAGATCTGGTATATGAGTGTGGGTGTATATGGAGTGAGGTATAAACCGGTATAGATTATACATCTTTTTCATTGCCAAATAAAAAGTGCAGAGCCTGGGTGCCATGGTCTATAGCCTTAAAGGGGTTAAAACGCAACAGCCTACCTTCACAGATGACATCATGATTCCCTCTTCCATCCCTGTCAAATAGTGCGTCGCTCGAGTTGTCCTTGCCTTGCTTGTAAATAACATGCTGACCAAAGTACATGTACGATGTCCATATCTTGAGAGGGGTGCTGTAACTGCTGTTACGTCTAGCCATCATCTCGCTCACCAATGATTTTATGCAGTCGCTAACACCCAGCATCAAGCCAAGCTCAGTGAAGGAATTATAGTCTACGACGTTGTATCCTCTTCTCATGCACATCTCGCGGGCGTGCACAAAGTTCGTTTTCTTCTGGCAGCTGCCATAGTCGAGATGTGGATAACATGGCAAGCTGGCAAGAGCAATCCAGGTGTATATTGCATTATTTGTGCCCAGGCACTTTGTCTTGAAAGCTGAGCATAACACAGTACACATGCAAGACACAGCCAGGCGAAGTAGAACACAACTGCAGCACACCCTAACACGACGTACACCGACTTTGTCAGATGGATACCGGAATTCAGTTCAAATAATAGAGAGGTTAAGATCCATGTTATTTCCGATGAAATATTGGTAGGGGATTGTCTGAAGCATAGTCAAGCGAGGAAAAGTCGGGCTTGATGACTGATCAAAGCCCTCAGGCTGGTCCCTTGGGCTTCGATCAGCCATCAAGCCCTCCGTATCTTGCTTGATTATCTACTTGAGTAACGTTACTCTGATTAGGCGTATATGCAAGCCTGAGGCTATTGAATAATTTCGTGGTGACTGTCTTTGCACCGGGTTTGGAGAGCTGAGCCATGGTTAATTCATAGGTAGTGAGGGAAGGAGGGGCGGGAGGCATTTTTTTTGACAGTTGAGACAATTTCTGTAACAATCAAGTGCTTTAGAGGTGATTTACACGACGGCAGGATTCATCCCGTGCCTGATTGATGCTACCATGGAGATTTAGTCCCATGTGCTCATATTTTGGCGCGAACGTATCCCGCCGGCTATCCCGGTATGGTCCCGGCGCCATGAGGGGGCTGGGGGGAGGGGGGCGGTGGTTGGAAATGCATATCGTGACATTCCGTGGTCTGTTTTGCAAGCTCTCGGGATCAAGTGCTTCTCTTCCCGGCTGGATGCACTGCCGTCATGTAAATCGCCTCTTAGGAAGTCAGAGAGATCTCGAGCATGGTGTCCAGAAAAGCATGCTGTCTTCAAGCACTAGCTTCCTGTGTCCCAAAGAAGGGGGGGGGTGGTAAAACACAGGTATGAATCGGTTCGGAACCCAAATTTGGTTCCGAACCGATTCATAACTTAAGAATAATTGTTGATGTATGCATGTACATGTATGGTCACAATTCCCAGGGGCATGTGAATCAAAGAAACACGAGTATTCACTTCATTTAGCAGTTACTTACCATGTTGACACTGGTCTCCATGGAAACCTTTCCGGCAGTTGCAGGTGCCGTCTTCAGAACACTGACCATCATTCAAGCAATTGCACACTGCAGTAGAGATTGGGTGCATTCACGTATTTCCCAAAACACACAAATAGGGATAGAACTTGAATAACCTATTGGATTCTCAAGTCGTTGTCGCATGTATCTTGATCATCATGACATTGTATAGACCTCAACATCGCCACAAACACTAACACTAACAATAACCCCCATTCACCAATCCCAGGTATATCCAACTTATAATCATGCCTTCCACTTGAATAGAACACACGTTTAGCTAATAAGCTGGAGAACCAGGCATAAACGCTGGGAAATACTTGTTCTTGTCTTCAAATACAACAGTCCAGCACGCGGGTATGCATGGGTCATATATTCTTTGACACGCGGGCTAAAATGACAGCAGCCTTCTTTAGCCCTTACCTTCTGTGCAGATGGGTCCGTCTGGTCTCGGTTTACATTCACATGCTTTGTTCTTTTTCACCCAGGGATTTGTGCACACAACTGCATTACATATCACACACAGAGAAGACAAAATGAGAGAGCTGATCAGCCATTCACAAAAATGCACAGACAAAACGAGAGTGTTGTGGAATTATCCACCACCAGACCAGCGCAAGGATATAAGTTGGACTATAAATATTAATTTCAAATCCCAAATGCACAAGAGGTGTACAGAAGAAAAAGCTAGAACTCGACCAGGCCAGAAGCAAGAAGAACTGAACACAAGATATTGAAAACCCTTCTCCTCAACAAGCTGCATCACGTACAACGCAAAACAACTGGCTGCACCAGCGCGTGCATCAGCGCGTGCACCAGCGAGTGCACCAGCGCAGCACCAACATGTGCACCAGCGAAATCAATATCGAAAGTACGTATCAATCATTGCATTACGTACCACATGCGCAAGAGGGTTACTCTACTTCACGACGTAGAAGAACGGCATCACCAACGGCGAACAGACAGTTATCAGCTTCAGACTCAACAAAGTCCTCGGAGGACAGCTCAGCTTCCACAAAATCACGGATCCGAGCAGCCTGGCGTTCAAAATCAGATGGAGTCAGGCCCAGCCCAGGAGTAGCTGAGAAGAGCACACCAGTGGGCTCCCAGCCAAGCATCGCACGCATAGGAGAAATCTTGAGGACAGAGTGCGGACGAATACGGTCGAAATACAGTAACACGTCCAGCTGAGATCGCCAATCACCAGCCTCATCCAAACACCTTCCGAATTAAGGTGAGGAGAGTGCGGTTAAATATCTCAACAGATCCCTGTAATAGGGGATGACTCACGGCACCGTTGAGCACTGTCACACCAAACGTGTCAAACAGCGATGACATCACGGCGTTGATGAATTCCGTGCCATTATCACAGCAGACCACTCGGGGCGGGCCCACCGCCTACACATGCCGACAAATGCCTCGGCCACTGATGCCGCGTCATGCTGACGGAGCAGAACCACTTCCACCCACTTGGTGAAAGTATCCATGCAAACGAGAACACAATGGTACTCTCCACTCTGATTGACGCCCAGTTCCAGAGTATCTATTACTACAACACTCCATGGACCATCAGCCACCACAAGGTGACTGGCATCCGCCGAAACGCCCTTGGTTGGGCTGGCAGCAGCACACAGCGAACAGTGGCGCACAAACTGCTGACATTGGGCATGTTCGGGAAATAGCACTTCGAGCGGAGGAAGCGCCATGTACCCTCCCAAGACGCGTGACCACAGTTCACATGAGCAGCACGAACGACATCGGACTCGAGTGAACTAGAAATAACAGGCATGACGGCTGCATCATTGGGCGGCAACTTTACACTTCGACACAGCATACCATCATGGACTACGAGCTGTGACTTGACCTTGACAAACGCAGGATCAGTAACTGGGTCACCATCGACGACTTGCTGGCGAGTCGCATCAATCCGAGGATCTGCATTCTGAGCAGCAGATACTCTGTTCAATGAGAATGGACCAACGGTCACCACCGCAGCGGTGACGGACGGTGCAATCCGAGCAAGGAGCGTCTTGCCACATCGGATCCAGCTGCTGGGAACACGGGTCAATAAATATTGATCCGCCGTGTTCTGCTGACTGCTGATCCACTGGACCTTGACTGTCAAGCCCGTGACAGCGACGAGATCAGTGATAATCTGGAGACGGCCCTGTACAAGTACCTGCTGCAGGCCCCTGACGCGAACACGAGACACCTTGCCAAGCACCGATTGCAACCAAGCAGCCACAGTCTTGGAATCGGTGAATAGCGTGAGCTCCTTCACTTGCCACTGCCTGGCAAGGTGCAACCCCTTGATCACGGCGTCAAGCTCAGCGATGTTAATGTGTCGCCGGTCGTCCTTCTGCCGCAGCCAGCAGCCATCCTCGACAATCATACTATTGGCCTGAATGACAGCATCATGTGCGATGTCCGAAGCATCACACCACAACGACCACTGCGTGTCTTCAGGAACTGACCACACACCTTGCGCAGGGTCATCGGTCTGCAGACGGTGAATGACTTCCGCACAACAAGCGACGACTTCATGAGACACTGGATTGGCCCATCCAGGCTTAAGGCTAGACAGACGCTTCAGATAACTGCACCCCGGGCGCAGCCAGGAGCTGACGGGATAGTGGCTGGTCAGCTTGCCCCACCACTTGAAAATCTCGCGCCGTGTGATGGCATCGGGCTAACAGGTCTGCATGACGTCACCACAACGCTTCCACCTCACTTGGCCATCTGCAGACTCTGACAGCTGCAGACCGAGTACTCTAGCAGAGACGACTGGCTCCGCTGGCTTGGTGGGCAACCCATACTGCGACAACTGATCGGTGACAGCACGCAGACAAGGCTTCGGAACATACAAATCGTCGACATAGTTGTCCACATCAGCATACGCACGGAGGATGCACTTGATGATTATGTCCATGAATTTGGGCGCAATCGATAGCCCGAAGCCCATCCTCTCCATTGGGAACAGCTGGCCCTTCCAGACGACTGTTTGGAACTTGGCGAGAGCTCGCGCGATGCGGATGTTGAGGTAAGTCTTGCTGATGCCTGGCAACACGTGGCTGTCGACGTCGCCAATAGACCTCCACTGACGCAACTTCTCTTGACAAACAGGCGCATCCAAACCTGGATGCGACACAATCAACTTGTTGAGTTGCCGGTAGTCCAAACACGGGCGGACAGGGGTGGACTCCTTGTGCGTCTGGGCCACCGCCAACAAGGGCAACACAGCACCAGGCTCACCATGGACTGCTTGGTCATGGGGTACCAACCATCCATTGCGGATCCAAATGTCCACTTCCTCGCAGAACTGTGACTCCTACCCTTTGTCCCCCTCTAAGTCTAACAAATGAGGACTGAGACCTGTACAACAGGGTTTTTACGCCTGAAAGCAGGTGCATGATTTAACAAGCAGGTTGTCAGTCTAGATTTTATGCGCAGATGGAGAAAAAATGCGCAAAATGTTTGTAATGAGATGAAGAACCAGAAATAATAAGAAAAGATGAAATGAAAGCCTGCGCACAACCCCGTCCAGCCTTGCGAACTGGGTATGGTGGATTAAGAACCCGGTTCAACGCTCGAGCAAGCGCTCTCCACTCAAGGTGTTCACAGCAACTGATAGGAACTCATATTATTATTATTATTATTATTATTATTATTATTATTATTATTATTATGGAGTTGGCTTTATTTCACTCACGTTGTCATGACATGAGGTAAGAACCCCATCACCGGGCCAAAAGAGACCAAGGGTAATGAGAGAGAAAAAAATAGATAAATGGCCAACGCAATGAAGACCGAAGCAAAAAGGATTGTAAAAACCAAAGCAAAAATATTGAAAGCCGACGCAGAAACTGAGAGACAGACAGAAATAAGCAGTACGATGGAGGATGCCAGGACATATTCGAATACAAAAAGATGGAGGAGGGCAGGACATATTCGAATACAAAAAGAGTAATCACAAAAATGGACTACCAGTACAGGAATAGACCTGTAGAAATAGAGGAAGAGATGAATGCCGGACATACTCAAATGGCAAGAGAAAAATCAGGCTGTGAGAACCGTCATACTGCACATTCATGGATGTCAAAGCAAATGCGGTATTGGAGGTTTATACAGACTAGCTCTACCCGTAACATGAGGGGCCTAATGCCGAATGCCAAGAACCGACTTGATGATGTTCAGCGTGCCCAGGATAGCACATTGCTGAGCCCTTTCAATGCGCAGAGTGCCTGCCAATGCCAACACAAAGTGTGACAGGGACACACCAGTCAGTCCACCAAGCGCCCCAACAACCAGGGGCACAACGCGGACATCATCCACATGCCAGATGCGCCGCAGCTCTTGGCAAAGGGGAGCGTACTTTGTTATTTTTTCGGCGATTTTTGTGGGCACATTCTGGTCCAGTGGAACACTGACATCCATCAGCAGCACCTGTGTGCTGGACCGCAACACCAGGTCTGGGCGGTTGTGGCGCACTTGCGTATCCGTTGGGATATTGAACTCCCACAGGAGCTTCATGTCAGGATTTTCCGTGACAGGCACAAGATGATGCTTCAGCGGGTTGCTTCCCGGCTGACCCAGACCATGCCGCTTGCATAGTGCCCAATGCACCAACTTGACAAGCGTGTCATGCCGTTGAATATACAGTGTTTTGGCTAGAGCTGGGCAACAGGCCACAATGTGATCAACTGTTTCTCCGCGAGTGCCGCAAACTCGACAAATGTCCACAACGTCTCCCCGTCCAATGACCGTGACCTGATAGTGCCTGGTCGCAATGGCCTGATCCTGTACAGCCAGCAAGAGTCCCTCTGTCGCAGGCCTGATCGTTGGCGATTTCAGCCAGCGAAAGCTCAAGCCCAGGTCCAAGCCAGCATCAGAAGCTCGTCTCCAGAACTGGCCATGGAGAGGCTTACCTTGGATAACGGCCAGGCACCGGAGAGCAACGGCCTTCTTGACAATTACTTTTGTGGCAGTCTCCAAGTCGGGTAGGTCAAGTTCACCCAGAAGTCTGGAGGCTTGACGTGTAACTGATTTTGACGGTGCCACATCATTGTCGTGATGGCGCATAACAGCAGCCAACAGTGGCACGTTTGGGTGGGCTTGTAGGTACCGCGCCACCCGGACACGGGTTCTATCCAGGAGATCCCGGAATGATAGAATTCCTCGACCACCCATGTCACGAGGCAGGTGGACCCTGGCGGCAGAGTCCTTGGGGTGGCGGGCGTGTGCTTTAAACAGTGCTTGGCGGGTCTGTCGGTCGAGTTCCTCTATCTCTGCCTTTGTCCACTCAACGATGCACAGAGAGTAGAGGATGACTGGAATGGCAAAGGTGTTGATGGCTTTGACCAAGTTCCTGGCGTTCAATTGAGACGAGCATATCAATTGAAGGCGGCGGCCGAACTCAGCCTTTGCTGTGGTCTTCAATTCGGTGGCGTGAAAATGTGCTGATTCCGGGACACCAAGGTACCTGTAGGACTCCTCCGCCTGCAGCT